TTTTTTTTTTTTTTTTTTTTTTTTTTTTTTTTTTTTTTTTTTTAAACAGAGATCAAACTCGGGACTTCACACTTGCCAGGCTGGTGCTGTGCTGCTGAGCTAAATCCTCAGCGCCTTGGTTGTTTCTTGATAGCAGCCATTCTTTCTGGAATAAGGTGGAATCTCAATGCTGTTTTAATTTGAATTTCTCAAATGACCAGTGATGTTGAACATTTTTCCATATGTTTCGTTGCTATTTCTACTTCTGTCTGAGAAATATCTGTTCATTTCACATGCTCATTTTTGCACTGGGTCTTTAAATTTTAGATTTTTAAAAAATTCTTTATATATTCTAGGTAGTAGATCTCCAATAGGCAATTTAAAAGTGTTAAATAAATAAAATCTATATTGAGAATTAATAAAATAGGATTTTAAAATGAAATTATTTCTAGCCCTTGAAAAGAATTTCATTTAAAAATAATCAGAGATGAGAGAAGTCCTAAAGTCTCATTTCTTCATTTACAAATGAAAAAAAACTGAGGTTGAAAGAGATTGCTCACCATCATACAAAGTTAAGGGCAGATCTGAGCTTCAAACCAGTTTATTAAATTCTATTCCAAAAATGGCAATCTCTTTCAGTATTCAAACACATAACACCCTACTTTAATGTGAATTTTACTGTGAAATATTCCATTAATCAGATTTTTCAGAATGTGTGTGTGTAACAGTCACTGCTACTTTTTCATCTGTCTGACCCCACTTCCTTTATGTAATCTTGGTGGGACTGTTATCTTTCCTGGCTCAGTGCAGCTAATGTGCCAGGTTACCAAAGTGCCCCATTCTCCTGGACACAATAATTCGTTCAAACTTGGCTGTCAAAGTTGTTTGGAGGAAATGATTTAGATGTGGGGAAAATGGGTCATTTCTTCTGGATCACTAAGCTGGGTGGATGGTGAAAGCCTAAAATGGCCTATGGCCATTTTGCTATCAGGAAATAAAACCCAACAAAGAAAATAAAACAACATTCATACCGTCTATGGTTATTGATCCATAGACTTTTATCTAATTTTATCTTTAGACTTAAATGTCAGCAACTTTTCATGTGACTTGGTACCAAATAATGAAATAGGCCAACCAAGTTCTCTCTCAGAAATGTGAATTCTAAAAGATAGGTAATACTGAACAGGTACTATAAAGTGAAGGGCCATGAAATAATATTATAGCCACCTGAGGTAACAGAAAAACAGAATTGTGAGAGAGAAAACAAACAGAAACAGATATCATGAAGGTGCCTCCACAAAAGAAAGTTGTATATCTCCAGCACTGCTTAGATCCCTCAGGATTTTCTAGTTCTGGGTGTACATGAGATATGAATGACCCATTCATTTGAAATATTTACATATGAGGGGCTGCAAATGTCTAGTGTGTAATAGATTGCATTATTTTTTTTCAGCTTTAATTGAGTTTATTGGTACATTTTAGGGATACAGTACAGTTACATTCATTGTTGGGATCTTGTACCTCTACATGACAAGTCTTGATTCTCATTTTTTCCCCTTACCTCTGCCCTCCCTTCACCCCCTCCTCCCCTCCCCATCTACAAACACTTTATTTTCATCTTTTCATTCTCTCACATTTTTTTCTTTTCC